CCAGCAGTGGAGGAGTGTTCCTCTTTCTCCACATCCTCTCCAGCATAATAATATCATTGGTATTTTGATTTGACCAAACTCTTTTTATAGACAAGGCTGTCCACTGTCTCCATACCTCTTCAATATTGTCCTTGAAGTTCCAGCTAGAGCAATAAGACAACAAAAGGAGATCAAGGGGATACAAATCGGAAAGGTAGAAGTCACACCCTCACTATTTGCAGATGATATGATAGTCAACATAAGTGACCCGAAAAACTCTACCAGGGAACTCCTACAGCTGATAAACACCTTCAGCAAAGTGGCAGGATACAAGATTAACTCAAAAAAATCTGTAGACCTACTATATACCAATGACACATTGGTGGAGAAAGAAATCAGAGATACATCACCCTTTACAATTGCCACAAACAACATAAAATACCTTGGAGTAACACTAACCAAAAAAGTAAAAGACCTGTACCGTAAGAATTTTGAGTCTATAAAGAAAGAAATAAAAGAACATACCAGAAAATGGAAAGATCTTCAATGCTCTTGAATAGACAGGATCAACATAGTAAAAATGGCAATTTTGCCAAAAGCAATCTACAGGTTCAATGCAATCCCCATCAAAATCCCAAGACAATTCTTCACTGACCTTAAAAGAACAATCCTCAACTTTATATGGAGAAACAAAAGACCCAGGATAGCCAAAACAATCCTGTATAATAGAGGAACTTCTGGGGGCATCACCATCCCTGACTTCAAGCTCTATTACAGAGCTATAGTCCTGAAAACAGCTTGGTATTGGTACAAAAATAGACAGGAAGATCAATGGAATAGAGTTGAAAACCCTGATATTAACCCACACACCTAGGAACACCTGATTTTTGACAAACATTCCAAATATATACACTGGGACAAAGAGAATATCTTCAACAAATGGTGCTGGCATAACTGGATGCAAACATGTAAAAGACTCCAGATAGGCCCAAGCCTTTTGCCCTGCATAAAACTTAAGTCAAAATGGATCAAAGACCTCAACATAAACCCAGCCACACTGAAACTATTAGAAGATAAAGTGGGAAATAGCCTTGAATTAATTGGTACAGAAGACAGCTTCCTGAAAATAACACCAGTAGCACAGACACTGAGATCAACAATTGATAAATGGGACCTGCTGAAACTGAGAAGCTTCTGTAAGGGAAAGGACACAGTCAGCAAGACAAAACGGCAGCCCACATACTGGGAAAAGATCTTCACCAACCCCATATCTGACAGAGGGCTGATCTCCAAAATTTACAAAGAACTCAACAAGCTAGTCTCCAAAACACCAAACAATCCAATTAAAAAATGGGGTACAGAACTAAATAGACAATTCTCAATGGAGGAATCTAAAATGGCTGAAAGACACATAAGAAAGTGTTCAAGATCCTTAGCCATCAGGAAAACGCAAATCAAAACAACTCTGAGATACCATCTTGCTCCTGTCAGAATGGCTAAAATCAAAAACACCAATGACAGTTTATGCTGGAGAGGATGTGGAGAAAGAGGATCACTTCTCCACTGCTGGTAGGAGTGCCAACTTGTACAGCCACTGTGGAAATCAGTATGGCGACTCCTCAAGAAACTGGGAATGAGTCTACCACAAGATCCAGCAATTCCACTCCTAGGCATATACCCAAAAGAAGCACATTCATACAACAAGGACATCTGTTCAATGGTGTTCATTGCAGCACTATTTGCAATAGCCAGAAACTGGAAGCAGCCTAGATGGCCCTCAACCGAAGAATGGATAGAGAAATTGTGGTACATTTACACAATGGAGTACTACTCAGCAGAAAAAAACAATGGAATATTGAAATTTGCCGGAAAATGGATGGAACTCAAAGAAACCATTCTGAGTGAGGTAACACAATGACAAAAAGACAAATATGATATATAGTCACTCATATGTGGATTTTAAACATAGAATAAGGGAATACCAGCCCAATCACACTGCCAGAGAAACTAGTAAACAAGGAAGACCCTAAAAGAGACAAACTTTGTCCCTTGGAGAAAGGGAAAGGGCCACGATCCCCTGAGCAAATTGAGAGCATGGTAAGAGGGCGGAGGGAGCTACATGAATGAGAAGGGAAGAAGAGGAAGGATGCAGAGGTCATGAGGGAGCAGAAAGGTTGAGTCAGGTATAGATTAGAGGAAAAGATATGCGATAGGTAGGATTTTAATTGGGGGGTGGTAGGAGAGGTGGGGAGGGAGAAGGGAACTGGGATTGTCATGTAATTCAATCGTGTTTGTAACTCAAATAAAAAAAAATTAAAAAAATAAAAGGGCTTTAAGATCAAAACAAAAAGAAAGAAATATACTCATGTCTTACATTGGAGTAGGGGGTTTTGAAAAAGATGCATTTGGAATTCTAAAGTTTACACTTGAATATAGTGTGGTCCCATTTATGTGCCCAAGCCTGCTATGGAAGCCTTTCTTTAAAGTCCTTGGTGGACTCATTACAGATCAAACAGATCTGATTTGGGATTTATACCCTCAAAGTTAAAGCTTTAGATGAGCCATCCTTAGCCTACACTAGGCAGGTGCAGAACTCCTGTCAAGGCTTGTGTGCACTGAGGAAACGTGTTAAGTGCTGAGTAAAAAATAAACTATTAAGAACAAAAACAATGAACTGCTTAAACATTAACAGCCAGAATCTGCTTAAGGAAGGGGAGCTTTACAGCATAATTTCTATTGATTGTAAGTCCTCAAGGCCAAGCACATTCTTCCTCCACTGCACACTGCTCTTAAGTCACTGCTGTAAATTTGATTTTCTTCTGAAATTTATTACCATTTATTTTTCTTTTAAAAAAGATCATACTTTTGGTAGATTTAAAATACGTTCTTTACATTTGAAACACCTTAACAATGAATCATTCATCAGCTTCAAATAAACAAGTTAGAGAGTTGTCATTTCTCTCCAATGTCAAAGCACACGTGCCACTCAACATTGTGTAGTCATATTTTCTCAGCTGTGGTGTCATGGTTTCTCCTTCCTCTTCGTTTCCTCTGACTGCCCTGGATGCATTGAAGGAGTCACCATCATGCATAAACTACAATATTTCTTATTTTAATTATAAAGAAGATTATTTTACATGTCAATCCCAGGTCCCTCTCCCTCCCCTCCTCCCCTGCTCCCCCAACTAACACCCTACCTATCCCATACCCTTTCTGCTCCTCAGGGAGGGTGAGGCCTTCCATAGGGGTCTTAAAAGTCTGTCACATCCTTTGGGATAGGGCCTAGGCCAACCCCTTGTATCTAGGCTCAGGGAGTATCCCTCCATGTGGGATGGGCTCCCAGAGTCCATTCCTGTGCTAGGGATAAGTACTGATCCACTACAAGGGGACCCCATAGATTTCTGAGGTGTCCTCACTGACACCTACATTCAGGGGGTCTCGATGAGTCCCATGCTGGTTTAGCAGTCTGGGGACCAAGAGCTCTCTCTTGTTCAGGTCAGCTGTTGCTGTGGCTTTCACCAGCCTGGTGTGGACCCCTATGCTCATCAGTCCTTCTTCTCTGCAACTGGGTTTCAGTTCAGTTCAAGGTTTAGCTGTGGGTGTCTTCTACTTCCACCAGCTGCTGGATGAAGGCTATACTATGGCATCAATCTCATTATCAGGAGAGGGTATTTAAGGCATAATATTCTCTACTGAGTTTACCGTCTGCAAATGGCTTTCACCATGACCCTGCTATTTTTCTCCCCAATAACTAGAAAGATCTGAGTAAGTTTTTAATCATAGGCAAGTTTTTTTTTTTCTACACTCACAGGCAATTAATTAATCCTCTTTAAGGAAAACATTTCCTGGAAAATATTCCCAAATCCATGTATTCACAAAACGATATTTCTTTTTGTTCCATTTTCCTTTTGTCTTCCCATACCTGCTAAGGTGTCATAAATGTCAGCCTGCCAACTGGGGACCCTGAGTTATTTTAGGTATATATGTAAGAAATTCTAAGTTCAGTAGTTTCTTTCAGAGGACCTCTGATATGCTAATATGTCTTACAAATATGTAAAAGGGAGGTAGTCAGTATCACTCACACTTTTTAGTCCAAAATGAACTGTTTCTCAGTGCAGCCGAACCCAGAGCAGCACTGTCTATCAGAGCTGGCTCTCGGCAGTTGTGTTGGCGAATTTCTCCTGCAGGTGTTTAGTCCATGTCTCACTCTTCTTTAGACAGTGTTAAAAACTTTGAATTCAGGTTCAGGTTCATTGTACCAGTTGTCGTTTCCAGCCTATGTTCCTGATAAGCATGATTTCATTCCCAAAGTAAAATGAAAAAGAGCAATTTTGCAATGAGATGATATTTTATTTTAATTTTCACCATTTATGTACAAACACAAGTTAATAAAACACATCACAAAACTGTAAAATTCATAATTAATATTTATAGCTGCATAGTTTCATGCACACGTATTTTAAAATATATATTAACAAATTTCACAATACATCATTCTTAGACAAAAAGAATCATTAAGGACACCTAACACTCTTATAAGATAGCAAATCACAACTTCTCAAGAACAGCAACAAAAGGTAGTGAAGATTTAGAAATAAGTGGTAGTCACTTAGGTGTTTTAAATTTCTTCTAACAATTTAGGTTTGAAGCCACAATATCCACAGCACACAGGACCCTGCTACCATGTATTCACTGTAGTGAGAGGGAAGCACCGGGATGCTGAGGGGCAGGTATGGACATCAATCACTGCTGATGGAAGACTTTGAAACACACTGTACAGCTTTGAGGAAAGGTCATGAATGGGCACATTGGAACTGAGCACTTGTACGCCGTGAACAGTGGCCGGCAGATCTCAGGACACTGGGAGCAAAGACACTCTTAGGCCTCAGGCTCATAGTCTTGGTATCCTTCCTAAAGGGGAAGGAGGGGGGGAAGGAGAGAGAAGGGGAGAGAGAGAGAGAGAGAGAGAGAGAGAATGACTGGTAAGTGAAAGTGACAGTTATCAAGTATCCATTTCCCAGTAGAGAGGATCCAGCCTTCCACTCAGTTAAAATAATCCTCAGACAATGTTTGAACTCCTCTGTCAAAAACATTTATTTGTTTGTTCATACTTGTCATCTATAAGTTAAGGGAGTTACTAAGTCAAGTTAGCTTATTAGGCCTAATTCCAGATGTGGATGAATTAGCCTCTGGATTTTTTTCCTTAGTTGTGCCCTGTGAGCTGTGAGCACCAAGATGAATTGCATGAAACCTCTTCCAGAGAGAGCTCAGATCTCTTGTTTTCAGAAGTGACAATGCTTAGAGATAAGGGGCACACCCTGTCCTTTCTATCTCCAGTTAGGATCTCCACCTTCTTTGCAGGTCTTTGCAGGTCTTTGTTTTTTTGGTTTTTTGCTTGTTTGTTTGTTTATTTTTTTCAGGCTGTCCTGGAACTTTCTTTGAAGACCAGGCTGGCCTCAAACTCACAGAGATCAGCCTGCCTCTGCCTCCCAAGTGCTGGGACTAAAGGCATGTGTCACCACCCCCCAGCAAATCTATTCTAAAGCCCACGTCTTCTAAAAAAAATGTGGGTAACTTTCAAAACAGTAATAATCCTAACTAACTGGATTAGGCAGCCTTCCTCAACAATAACTCCAATTACATCAAGATTCTGCTGTTAACCTATCTTCAAATACTTTTTTTTTTGTTTTGTCTTGTCTTGTTTAAATAAATATAAACTTAAATGACAAAGTTACTTTAGTACTCCACAGTTTGTCCACAAGCCTATTTATGTCTTCAATCTGTCATTTTTCTTTTTTCTAAGCATGACTAATAACTGTGCATTGTTGCTCAGGCACTTCCATGTGCCCTTGTTTCTGGTAGTCTCTTGTGATAGAATGTTCTTTTCTCATTTCGACCTACCATATCTCCCACCATATCTCCCTCTCCCACACAGATCAAAATTGTTTTCTTGGTTGAACTACCCAGACCTTAATATGGGGGAGATCTGATGTCATAGGGTTCTGGTGGAATTAGCATAATCTAAATTAAGCACCTCAACTATTTTTCTTTGTTTTCTCTACATAGGCTGTTTACCTCTGAAGGCATTTCATAAGCCTCACTGCCAGGATCCACAGGCATGTCTTCCAGAATTCCTTCTTGTGGGTACCCTTCTTCACCCTACAGTCAAAGAGAGGAGTGCAAAACAGAATCAGAAATCGTCTTAAATTTTGAAACAGAGTTTGAAAAAAATGTATCTGATAAATCTATGGGATATTGGAAGAAGTGTTGTCAGAACTGTAGTTTTTAGCGCTACTGATGGAATTCTAATGGTAGCATAACTCTGAAAAATCACTGTACAACCATGAGTTATCAATGTAAGAAGTACCAAGTTTTTACCCAGGTAACTAGGAAGTTTCCAAAGCTAAAGTCCATAAAATTCTCTCCATAACAGCAATGTGGTAGTTACACAATGGTTTATAATCTCTGGATGATGATGAATCAAATAATGGCAATATATTCAAAGTTATTATAAAAAGATGCAAATTTGCTAATAATGAAAACTTACCTATGGTGTAATGTTTAGAGGGGCATTAGTTATGGACAGAAACCATGTAGCATTTTAATGTAAAAGTAAAAAGCTCCAAAACAGTAAAACAAATATTGACAGACAATCATTATTTATTTTTTCCTAGATTTTTTAAGGTAAAGTATGTATGGTTTGTAATTCACTTAAAATTATTTTTATTTTTTTATGTGTATGGGTGTTTACCCTGTATGTATGTCTGTGCACTATGTGCAAGCCTGGTGCCCACAGAGGCAAGAAGAAAGCATCATATTCCCTGGAACTGTAGCTATAGACAGTTGTGATCCTCATGCAAGGACATGGGTCCTCTGAAAGAAGAAACTGTGCTCTTCACTACCCAGCCATATCTCTAGCCCCAATAATTCATTTTTAAATGCTGGCAAGGAAATAAGTTCTCTTCCTAAATATGAAGTTTGAAATTATGCATACCTGTTTTTTTTAAAAAAAAACCAAAGACAAGATTGTAACAGTTTTTCAGGTTATCCCTCCATGAATGCAGACACCCTACATTCAGCCTGACATGATGCAATTTATTTGTATTCTCCATCAAAAGCCTTTTGTTCCTTCCCATTTGTTCTAGCAAAGCAATTATTAAATGAGGATTTCAGCAAAAATTCAATGAGGAGAGATGCAGTTGGAGTCTAAATGGGCTCCTTTGAAGATACCAAAGGATGCTCAGCTTATGTGGACTGTATCCCTGTGTAAATGCTAACTGCCACTGCTTTTATCATCGACACGATGGGTCAATAGGCAGAGGAAATATTTGACAGTGAGGCAAGATCAGACTCTGAAGATCATGCTTTGGGCCGCTGGGCAGAACAGCTTATAGTTCATCCTATCTGCTTTATGTATCATCATCAGTCTCCATTTATAAACCCAGAGGGTCCAAAACACCTCACTTCAAAATGTGGAGTAAGATATTAATTTCACAGTATTTCATACTGCGATATAAGAATCCAAGTTTTTGTTGTGTGGTGGTTCAGCTCCAGGATTTCACATTACAGTTGTAGACAAACTAGGTTATCAATCTTAGGTGAACCTGAACACATTTCTCATGCCACTCAACTAGTTTTAGGAATAAAAGAAAGCAGACAAATCTTTTAATTGTATACAACCGGAAGAAGCAAGTGACACCATTGATCCCACCCACTGATGTTTAAATGCATCTTAGAGACAGTCAATATAAAGGAAATACAGTAAGCCACCAGCTTTAAGCATTTTAATGTAATCTCTGAGATTTACGTTATAAACTGGGTAGGACACATGGCAATCCAATCTTGGGGACTGCTGATTCTCAGAAAAAGAAGTGATGCTGCATAAGTAGGAGAAGGGTTTACCGATGGATGTGGATGCCTGTGTCTGTGTGGGAGAAACTGTTTTCACTTCCATGTTCAGCCAGGCAACACTGGATATTGCTTGTGGACCCCTTGTCATGTACTACAATCAACTAAAATCCATCATTCTTCATTTTAAATATAATATCAGACAAATTGTAAATGAACAATGATTGGTTATATTTTTAAAATACAGTATATGTGTTTCTGGGTATAACTTTTCTTTTCTTTTTTTTTTTCTTTTCATTTTTTGATACAGGGTTTCTCTGTGGCTTTGGAGGCTGTCCTGGAACTAGCTCTTGCAGACCAGGCTGGTCTCGAACTCACAGAGATCCTCCTGCTTCTGCCTCCCAAGTGCTGGGATTAAAGGCATGCGCCACCAACACCTGGCTGGGTATAACTTTTCTTGTGCTAAAGACTGATGAAGCAAAATATGCACTTCCATTGAATTAAATTCAAAGTATAAAGATTATACCCTGGATCTCATTTAGGTAACATCATATTTGACCAATTTTTGAGGAATTAGCTTAATCAAAGTTTTTTCATTTGAATACAGTCAACAATAGGCAAGCGTTTCAGAAATCTTAAATGAACATAATTTCCATAATAAAAGTGAAATCACAGACATGTGTCCATAAAATTTATATGAAAACCTGTTTCAAGGGAGCATTATGTCATTTATGGTTTAAATATATATCTCCAAAGCACAAAAAATAAAGTATTTGTTTAGATAAAAAGTAAGAATGTTGCTGGGCTGTGGTGGCGCATACCTTTAATCCTAGCATTCAAGAGGCAGATGCAGGCAAATCTCTGTGAGTTTGAGGCCAGCGTGGTCTACATAATGAGTTCAAGGACAGGCTCCAAAGCAATACAGAGAAATCCAACCTCAAAAAAGAGAGGGGGAAGGAGGGAGGGAGGGAGGAAGGGAGGGAGGGAGGGAGAGGGCTGGCAGGAATGAAAAACTTGTTAGAAAATACTTGGAAGGCCTTTGTTCAATGTGAAATGTGCTTGGGACTGGGAGATGGCTCAATCAATAAATTAGCCCTTTCTAAGCTTGAGCATCCTTGTGCTTATAATCTCTAGGTAGCATATATAGGGAGGTGAGTATCGGGCATAAAGTGAGGGTGTAAGAAGTTAGTCCCTGGAGCTTGCTGACCAGCCAACCTATTCTACTCAGTGAGTTCCAAGCCTGCAAATGACTATCTCCTGGCACCCGAGGAACAATAACCATGGGTGGTCTTTTAACTTATACATGCCTGTGACCAGGCATACAAACACTCATATTCACATACATGCACCCCATATTCCACAAACACAGACCATAGAGTTCAGTGGGTGAGGTTTTTTCCTTGACCCTGAGGTCTACTATTAAATTAACAAAACACAACTATAGCCTGATTTTAAGAAAAACAACAAAATGACTAGCCACAAAGTTGACTGAAGATATGTGGGTTCCGGGTTCATCTGAAAGGCTAATTTACTACAATTGTGACTAATCTGCCCCCACTCATTACATCTAACAAGATTTTCTCAATGAACAGCAAATTGCTATGTCATCAACTACATGTATCATGTGGAAATAGTGAAGTTCGGAAGCACTGGTAAGACATGCAGTAAGCACACTATTCCTAGGGCACACCTGTAAAGAGCCTTTTGAGATTATGGATGCAAATTTATTGAGTTAAGTGACATTAGTGGAGAATCTAGTCCTACACAGAAACGATGTTCTCATTGAGCACAGGCATGTTCTATAATGGAAGGTTGATAGCTCGTTCCTTTTTTGTCTTCTTCCCTTCTGGGGCAGTGGATTAGCCTCAGCAGTCCTCTCAGATAAATATAATGGAATAGAGAAAAGATGAACACCCACTTATTTCATTGTTTAAAAGATTTGGGAGAAGAGAAAAAAGCAAGATAATATATTAAATCCACTTGAGGCATCTTTGCAAATGCTTTTTATCAATTATTGAACCGGTTTTATAAAACACTTGGCACACTAAATAGGTATCTGTGTAAAAGCATTTTAAGTAGGGTTTTCAGGAGGTAACATGCTATCTTAATCTGAATTCTCTTTGGTAAGCCCTATAGTGCATGCCATATTGAATGCACAACCATGTCATTAGCTGAGTCATCTAATGAGACTGCACAGCATGGCAACAACTGCCAGCTTTTATTCCGTTACTTGGATATGATCTGGTTGAAAATACTAACACACAATGGAATCCAGAGAATAAAATGCGGGGATTTTTGTGTATGTTTTAGGATTGTTGAGGGAAATATTATTCTATATGTTTAAATATATACACTTGATATTTTTACTATTATTTTAAATGTGTATGGATTGAACTCATAAAGATAAACTCTCTGGTTAGAGAGTGAATAGGACATCATCAGAGTTCAAGTGGGCTGAGTTTAGGAAGGTGTACTGCACACTGCGCTCACAATCAGCTGCCCACATCCTCTTTGCAAGTGCATGGATCTTTGAAAGCAGAACCTAAAATCAACTGAATGAAACAGGTCGACTTTGCCCCAAGTATGAGACAAGATTTTTATTTTAGGTAACCATGGGGAATGCTGAAGGTCTTAGAGGAAAAAGTAGGAAACTTTAAGACTATAATGAGCCAAGGCGCAGGTGTTTGCTTTAAAAAAAATAATAATGTACATTTTATCTTACTATCTGACTGGTAGGAAACACTTCAGGCAAAACAAGATGCTTGTATGCAAAAGATGGACCGGATTTATGGAGTTTAGAAGCAGATAGCAGAAGCTTAGAAATCAGTAAATATAAAATCAACAAATCTCAGAGAGCAAAGGAAGGCTGTGTCTTCCTTACCTAAGTGATTATAAGGTAATTGGAGCAGAGAACAAGTGAAGTCTAACAGGCCTAGAAGGAAGTTCTAGAAGGAAAAGCTCCTCACTGGACCCACACACTGCTTAGGTTGATTGTGCTATACAGTGTCTCCATGGGACCAGAGGCACTAAGGAGCCAATGCCTCACAGATCATAACAATCAACTTCAAAAGGACTTGAGATATCTGTCACAATTAAATATTGTCACACAGTAGTAGTAACAAATCCCCCTTACAGTTTTTTTAAATTTTTTTTTTATTTTAACTTACACTTTTTTTTTTCTGGAACCTTATAACCATGTCTGAACAGATTAGTGGTAAATGGAAACTTATTTTTTTTACCAGGTTATAAAGAAAGCTGATGGACAAGGGGACTCCTTAGGAGGTAACTAAAACCCAGCATGATGGTTCATG